AGTTCACTGACAAGATACACAAAAAATTCACCGACGATTTTATTGCGTGATTATGAAATCGAAGAAATCGTTTGCGATAATGACAGCTGTTTGCATAGCTTCTCAGTGAACTACGGCTCTGTGAAGTAAATGCTGCTCCATCTGAAAGCATGTGAAAATACCACATTTAATAACATATTTTTACTCCAAACTCACTTCATAACATCAGTTGAGTGTTTGAAATAAATCCTTCTGTGAGATGATGTGGCTTCTTACACAGAATAAAGCACGCAACATATTTCATAGTATTTAAGCAGTGATAAAGGCACTGCATTATAAATACACTATTTTAATGAAAATTATAATAATAAGATAAACTGTATATTGCCGTAGTCGTGTGTTTATTAGTCACGTTGAATCAATGAAAGCAGTTGAATCTTCTGTTTATTCAGCTGCAGCGATTTTCTGGGTTTCTTCTGCGAGGCGTATTTGGAGTTTCAGTGCGAGAGCGCCCTCTGGCCTTTGGATGGAGATTTACTACTGATCACAGAACCGTGCTTCACTGAAAGATATGCATGACAATCGCAGCTTCTGTCGAATCGCGATCTCGATTCCATTTCGATTGATCGTGCAGCCCTAAATGATAGTTGTGTAAATACTGTCATACTAACAGCTGTCTGAATACTTTTTGGTTGATTGTAATCCATTTCATACCTTTCTATCAAAGTTATCTAACATTATCAAGCTGAATTTGTTCTGACACAGTTTAAAATATGAGTTCTTGTCATATTTTATTACCATTTTCTAAACTATAGCGAATAAACTGTGATAATGTGAGAAATGTTGACGGTGTCTGAATAAATTTTGGTTTGACTGTATTTATTTGATAAATTAAGTTAACCAACTATCATTATGCATACTCTTTTGGTTTCTGTACCCAATATTTAAAAAATGTACAAATGCAATAAAAATATCGGTACTCAGTATCGGCAAGTACCAAAAATAAAAGTATCATATCGGGCGAGTACTGGAAAAAGTGGTATCGGTGCATTCCTAATTTTTTTTCTACTGGCTTTTTAAGAATTTTTTCTACTGGTTCAAATTTTTACTTGCCCTACCACTATTTTCACTGGCCCTGTCACAAAAAATAAAATAGTTGTTGCTATAATTGTTTTTGACTCATTTTTACTCATTGTTTTTGACGCAGCTGCCCATAGAAAGCAGACAGCAGGGCAGCTCATTGGGTTTTGGAACAGAGCTATTTGTCTCTCTTCACATCTTATTGTACTGCTAAACTGCTAAAAACACATGGCACACCACAGCCCAGCAGTGACAATGCCCTATCAGTCCTCTTTTCAATCACTTCCATCAAATGACTTTTGCTGGCAGTCTCTCAATAGCCATAAACAAGCACATTTCACCAGTGAGGGCCATAAACCGGATCTGTGGGTGGCAGAATGCACAAGATACACTGAAGCTAGAGCCTCGATTTATCATTCTGTGCTTTCACTTTGTGTCTCTGACTACAGCCAAATATCCTGATAGGATTTGTTTTCGACCAAACAAGTCAACAAGGAACCTAGTCGCACATACCAGAACAAGGGAATATTAATTGGAAATGCAATACTGAAGTATAACAGGGATCAAATATCAATTTCTCTAATGTATAAATGGAAATGAGATATGTGAAACACCACAGTTTTGTCGTCATCTTCCCTGAAAGGCTGACCTGCTGACAGTGCTGTAGAACAGAACAATGTCTATTTCTGCTATACTGCTAAAAATAGACAAACATTGTGATGTTTACCAGAAATACGACACTGAGCCAGGGGTGTAAACTTTTGAACAGAATGAAGATGTGTACATTTTTCTTATTTTGCCTAAATATGATATATTTTCATTTACTGCCCTTCAGAAACTACTGAAAATACTTACATGTTTCCCAGAAGACAAAATTATTTCAATTTACCCTGATCTTCAGATTCAAAAAGTTTTCACCTCTAGGCTCTTAATGCATCGTGTTTCCTTCTGGAGCATCAGTGAGTGGTTGAACTTTTAGTAATAGTTGCATGTACAGTAAGTCCCTCAGTTGTCCTCAGTGTTAAAAGACAGATTTCAAAATCATACAGTCATTGTTGGAAAGGGTTTAAACACACAAAAAATTATGGAAAACCAAAGAATGTGTGGGACCTAAAGGATTTTTCTGAAGAACGGCAGTCAGTTTAACTACTCAGGACAAACAAGGGACTCATGAACAACAAGGGTATGTAAACTTTTGAACAGGGTCATTTTTTTTTATTCAACTATTATTTTCTCTTGTGGACTATATGCAAACGTCTTTTATGTGAAATACCTTATTCAGGTCTGTACTAAATAAAAAATAGCATGGATTTTGTATGATCCCTCTTATTTTGGTAAAATAATTAACATTTTGCAGATTTTGACATTTTTACCATAACTGTATCATACATACATACACGTACAAAACTTCATTGAGAGCGTGCATACACAATTTGTTTGCACATCTATATAACAGACTCATACTTTACCTCGATTACAATCCTCATCCATCAACATTTTACTAGTGAGATACTGGTTTGCTTTACCCAGCCAAGAAACGTAGTTTGCGTTATCACCTGGCCATACAGACATTCCGTTCAGACTGCATTTCACAGTGTGGTGCATGAGGGCTCACACTCATAGCGAAGGGTGAACCAACTCCAGGGTAAGGATAAAAGCAGCCAAATCTATTAACTACTATTAACATCATAAATCTGTCTTTTTAGGCGAGAACCAGACATGGGTGTCATGTAGGCTAATAAAATATGTTTAATGGGACTGAATTTGTATTTAGTGTGATTACAATTTAATTAAAACATTAGAAATTGAAAAGTATATAACGTTTCCTTCCCACGGTTATTCAAACGGCGAATTAATTATGTACAGAAATGACATTATCACTAACTTTAATCTATTGCACTCTCAAAAAAACATAACTATCGTTATAGTCACTGAAGCTGTGTACACTGAGAAATGAATCCCTTAATTACATTGTACGTACATCTGCGCTTTGTTGTTTATGATGAGAGAATTCGCGGAATTCAGTCATCGAACATGCGCGCATTCAACAAAGCTGATGAGTTTCAGCGATGTCTCATCTGAACGCCTCTGATTGGCCATTGCATTCCTAAGCTCAACAGAATCGTGTTTGATTGTTTATAATGCGCAACACTGTAAAAACGCCTAAAATGAAATACGGTGCAACATGAGCAAATCTTAATTTAATGCACAGTCGACACTTTCTATTCATTTACACTTTGTTAGCAACAGATGTAATAGATTTAATTTGTTTGTGCAGGGGCATTTTTGTCCAATTTAGTGGCATTTTTGCCCCAAGACCCCGTGGCCAGGGGAAGACTAAGCTTTCCCCAGCTTTACACACACTCAACCTATGCTCGCACTCTTCAGAAATAATCACAGAATATGACAGATCTTGTGTTTTAAAGCCAAACACACAATGAATAATTCACTGAAAATGAGTCTCTGCTCTCTCTGCCATCTTTTTTTTTACATTAGCGCTGTTTTGGACTGATTGTTTGAATGTATTTGCTTGCTGGATCATTGGACTGAAAACTTTCCCAGAGTTTAGAGGCTTTAAAAGATCTGATTGCAAACAGAGAAGCGAAATCAGGTTAAAGTGTTAGAATAGAAAATTCCGCCTACCAGGGATACAGGTTTTGTGCCATTGTAGATGCTCAGTGTGAGAAACTCCTGACTCCCAAGATCATCTTACTGCATGATGTAAATTACATTAATGACGCAATTTCACATGCTTCAGTAATTTGTTTGCATTCAATTAATTTAACGCGTTAAAGATTTTGAATTAATCGCACAAGTTAACGTTGACAACCCTAATTCAGATACATATGTAGACTTTATCAGACTACTTTTTAACAATGTTGAAAACAGTTCTTGCCATGATACTTTTTTTCAGGATTCTTTGATGAATACCAAGTTCTGTGAACCACTGATTTGATATAGAAATCGTGGCCTATTGAGAGTCGGACTTATAACCCGAAGGTTGTGGTTTCGAGTCTCAGGTCCAGCAGGAATTGTCAGTGGGGGGAGTGAATGGCCAGCACTCTCTTCCACTCTCAATACCACGACTGAGGTGAGACCCTTGAGCAAGGCACCGAACCCCCAACTGCTCCCCGGGCGGCACAGCAATATGGCTGCCTACTGCTCCGAGTGTGTGTTCATGGTGTGTGTGTGTTCACTGCTGTGTGTGTCCACTTGGATGGGTTAAATGCAGAGCACAAATTCCGAGTATGGGTCACCATACTTGGCCACATTTTGATCAATTTAATGCATCCTTGCTAAATACTAAATTTAAATTAAAAAAACTTAGACTCCAAACTGTAATATGTATATATGAAAATGTATGTGTTGAGTGTGTGCTTTAAATTCAGATTTTTTTTATATGCCCATTAATGAAGAAAATAGAGGGATAATTAGAATCAGTACAAAAAGTGAAATAGTAATTCAGCACTAACATAACAGCAATGCATACAAAATGTAAGTCTGTCCACACAAGATTTTTTACATGTGGTGTTTACATGCTTTGCTAAATTCAACATTGTAGGCATTACCAGCTTGGCTAATTAAAAGTTCAATTTAAGTTAATAAAAAAACAGATGCACAGTTTAAATTTATTATGTGTAGTGTTCTTTTAATATAATTTAATAATTTATTTGAATGAACTAATAACAATTTTGTGTACATTTAATTTGCTGTACATGTAGGTTTGTATATATATATATATATATATATATATAAATAATAGTTTGTTCATTGAATTTGATTGGGCCAAGTAGTATTCCATATGATATTTAGTACATCAGCCATAGGACTTTTGATATTGCTGAAATACGTGTCATAATCAAATCCGCTCTCCAGATCAGCAAATCAGCTCAGAAAACCTCATATCAGTCAAACAACTTAGAGCATTATATCAGACTCACTTCTCTCCCTGAAGTTTGTTGGTTTTCACAATCAAGTCCTGGGTTTGTTCTTTGGCTGCCTGTTGACACACAAAACACGAAAGCGGAGTTACGGAGAAAGAGCATGTTGGCCCTTCAAATACATAAATTCAAGTATCTTTTTTCAAACCCTTGAAATGCCTTTCAAGTTTTTTTTAAATAGTTAGTTCTGTTGCATTAATGAACCATGATTTTCCAAAGGAGAAATATGCATATAAATGCATTTATCTGCTAAATAAATGCAAACATAAATAATTACCTTCAACCTGTTGGTCATTTCTTCACAGCAGGAGCTCATGGCCTGAACATCTTCATGAACGCTCTCAAGTTCCTGAAGCAGAAAGACATACTCAAGAGCTGAGGATGAGTCCTACTGTACACTGCAGCAGACATCCACTAGTGCTACAGAGGTTATATGCAAATTAAAGTTTATAGTGTAAACCACCTCAACAGCATCATGTTTTCATTTAGTCAGACGCTTTTCTCCAAAGCGACATGTTATTTTAGTATCATTGATATACTATCATAGTTTTTGTTAATATTTTGAATTAGAGTTTATTTTTTATAGTTTCTGTTTTCATTTTAATTTTAGTTAAAGTTTTAGTTCATTTTGTTGTGTGGTTTTGTAATAATATATATATTATTTTGTTAAATCTGAGCCAAAATCATCACAATTAAAAGAACCAAAGACTTAAACTACTTCAGTCTGTGTGCATTGAATTTATTTAATACACAAGTTTCACAATTTGAGTTGAATTACTGAAATAAATGAACTTTTCCACGACATTCTAATTTATTGAGATGCACCTGTATGTACATAAAAGTTGGCAAAAATGTAAATAGAGTGAATATATACACTACTGTCAATAGTTTATGGACATTTGCACAACTACATCAATAATAAAATAATGGCTTCGTATCACATGTAGTTCTACACAAAAGTGTAGAATTTTAGTACTTCAACTTGTCTATTTTCTATTTTAATATATTGTAAAATGTTACTTATTTCTTGATACATTTTTTTCAGGATTCTTTGAGGAAAAGAGATTTCAAAAGAACAGCATTTACTGGAAATATATACATTATTTGTAACAATGTAAAAGTCCTTACTGTCACTTTTGATCAATTGAATGTGTCCTTACTGAATTAATTAGCTATTAATTAAAAAAAAATAATAATAATTCCATCATTATCTTAATGGCCCAAACCAAATAGTTTTCAGTGCAAGCGAGAGTATAGAAGTGAAATGCATAAATACACATTGTAATTTTAATGTAATGTACTTTGTAAGATGATAAATAATAAAAAAGCCTCACAGGCATCTTATGTAATGTAACAATTTGATTTATGAGCTGCTTTTTTTAATAGTATTTTTTGAGCTTATGTATTGTCAAACTGTCACTGTGAATTTACCTCCTTCACTTCCTTAAATATCCGTACAAACTCTTCATTGATGGACAGGCTGCGTCTCTCAATGTCTCCTCGAAGGTTCCTCCTGGTTCTCAGACTGTTCTCAGTGAAAAACACAGAGAGAGATTTCAACGCTTCCAGCATCTCCTAGAAAAAGACAAAATAAATAAATAAGTATGGCAACAAGATCTTCATAGCAGCTAGTTCATCAACTGCATGTTGTCTACGAACATCAGATGACAATTGCATTTACAACATACAGTGGGGCAAAAAAGTATTTAGTTAGCCACCAATTGTGCAAGTTCTCCCACTTAAAAAGATGAGAGAGGCCTGTAATTTTCATCATAGGTATACCTCAACTATGAGAGACAAAATGAGAAAAAAAAATCCAGAAAATCACATTGTAGGATTTTTAAAGAATTAATTGGTAAATTCCTCGGTAAAATAAGTATTTGGTCACCTACAAACAAGCAAGATTTCTGGCCCTCACAGACCTGTAACTTCTTCTTTAAGAGGCTCCCCTGTCCTCCTGGGAGAACTTGCACAATTGGTGGCTGACTAAATACTTTTTCCCCCACTGTATATAGGCTATGTTCTGATCAAAATAATATTACTGCAATCACCTTCTCCATTAAAATGTACAGTAGTGGTACAATGGCAATTCTATGTTTGCTCGATATACTAGGTAGACTACTGTTCAAAAGCTGATAAGATTTTTTTAATGTTTTTGAAAGTCTCTTAAGCTGATCTGATGCTCAAGAAACATTTCTTATTATTATCGATGTTGAAAACAGTTGTGCTGCTTAATATTTTTGTCGAAAGCATGATAATAGAATAGGATTTTTGATTAATATAAAGTATGTAACACTGTAGTAATCTTTCCTCTCAATTTTGAGTATTTAATGTGCCCTTGCTCAATAAAAGCATTAATTTAAAAAAAAAACCTTACAGACCCCATAGGCTGCATTATACTGTACCATAGTGTATGTTAAAAAGAAGAAAAAATATATATGACATTACCATGGTACAATGTCTTAAAAACATATTTACAGTTGGACATGTACCATGGTAGTACCATAGTATTCTTTGAAGTATCTTGGAGTACCATATAAATACCATAGTACATGAATTTCAAGTATTATAAATGGGTTGGACAAAATAATGTGAACAACTGGGTAATATGCAATTTTGCTTTATTATAGTGTTTTACTGTATCACCATTTGTTTTAATACAACTTCAATCCTTCTTAGAATAGATTAATATACATTTTGTTTTTGAATTTTCCTTCCAAATCTATACACAGTGGTTTGATAATATTCCAGTATATTATAATATTATAAATATGATAAAAGTCCAGTGATTGAGATGGCCTGGGTAGACGTTGACGTTTATCTTGGTGCTCCAACTGCCCAGGTTTTGTTAACACGATACCATCTTTTTCACATTTTAGCATTAGTATCTGTGACTAACTACAGCTTTTTCTTGGATGTTGGATTTATTAAGTTCTTCGTGGTCGATTTTTGGGGAAACAGGGTCTTCAGTGTGATTATTGAGGTTTGCTGTCACTTTGCTCCAGCAGTTCTGTGTTGTTTGGACACAATCCCTACAGTTCAATTCTCGCCCAGTGTTGTTCTTTACTAATGAAGTCTTGCCATATGTTATGTACATAGTCTTAATCGCAAAGACTATTGTTCTTAAAAGACCAAACAATTGGGCTGTTAAGGTTACAGATGCTCCTGCTAAATGGGCTTCCATGATTTGCCCTTTTTGGAAGTCTGACAAGTTCCCTATTTCACTCATGGCTTTTACTAAACTGCTGAAATCAACTTGTACAACAGTGAAATACAACCTAGAGCAGTGGTTCTCAATTCCAGTCCTGGCAACCCCTCACTCTGCATATTTTGCATGTCTCTCTTATTTAACACACCTGATTCAGATAACCAGCACATAAGAAAAGAGATCCATGCATGAACTTCTTTTCCGATTGACAGGATTCCTACAAAGTGTTCATTCTTCCCTACTCCCTGAGCACGGGAGATCCCGTCAAGTGTGACATAATATACCTCAGTAAATAAATACAATTTAAATTCACGTCTCTCACACTTTAATGCCCTTTGAATGGAACATATACGCTCCCTTCGAAATGGAATCATGGCGGAATATCCTGTGAAGTCCACTTCGCAGGGCACTTACGGTCGAATAGAACAAACGTCTGAAGTGATAAGAGATACATACAAAATATGCAGAGCAGGGGCTCGCATGGACTGGAATTGAGAAGAACCACTGACCTAGAGAATATAGACAATGTAAAGACAACTGAAACATTTGTTTTTGACTATAGCCTACACAATATTAAGTATATTAACCCCTACAATAACTGGTGTTCACATTTCTTTGTCCAACCCGCGAACATTACCCTGTTGTAACATAACCATGTACAAATGTAAGGTTTGTGTAAGGATCTGACATGCAGAACACCACGCTACTGAAATATGATTTACCGTGTACCATTAGGCCTACTTTTACATGAAATAATTTCATTATACTATTTACAAAAAAACATCCTCCAAAAAAGATATTATCATGGTGCATTTTGGTACTTATCCTATCTCTAATTGAGGACTGCTTTATTATCTATGTTTGAAGAGTATACATGTGCAATTTATTATATAAATTAGAGACTCAGAAATGATGTTTATTTGTTTTGTTTTGTTTTCTTTATATTAATTATAAGGGCAAACGATTTGTAGTGACAGGTGCACTGCGAGTCTAAAAAGTCAGCTAACGTTAAGTTACTGTGCCAAACCTTGTCATTATCCAACCTGGTCTCCAGGATCTTGTTGAGTTTTCTGGATAGAGGGTTGTTGGACTGTGAGGACGCATTCCCGCTGCTGTTAGAGGTGTGAAGGATAGAGGCATCAACTGACAGCTCTGCTTTAGTCTCTGCCATCATCAACATCCACGTCAACCTCCAGGAAGCTGTTTTGAGTAACCAGAAAAACGTCCCACTGCAACAACAAGAGTTGGACACATTAGTTCCGCGCCTCGAGCTGTTCTTCTTCTTCTTGTTTGGGTTTTAACGGCAGCTTGCATTCTTAACGTTTCCTCGAGCTGTTGACTTTTGCGCAAAAACCTAAATCTCTAGAAATGAGGGTGTCACCCTTTGAGAGTGTCATTGAAGAGTAATGTCTAATGTTCTAAATAGACTAATAATGTTTTAAACGTTTTAATATATTTACATAAAACATATTTTATAAATAAATATATAAATATATTATTAATACATATATATTTTCATAAATATATTTTATACATAGTAATGATAATGACAACGAAATAATAACAATATAATATTATTAGAATATTATTGTTATATAATTTATATGGTTTATATTATTAAATATATTTTAGAAAAATATTTTAGGCTTTTGATGTTTTTAATTATAGATAATGTTATACTTAAAAACAGCAGAAAGATATGGTACGTCCACATTTAATTATATACCCCACATAAATGCGTGAGCATGTGGGTCAGGTTTTGCACAGGCTATGCAGGGACCAAATAATGTGCATAAAGATAATAATTAATGTCCCCATAAAGATAAAACCTGAAAATTGGCCTACCTACTATTGCTTTATGAAAAAGTACGTTTTGTGAGGAAAATTCTGAAAGTTTTGTGTGAGGTTAGGATTGATAATATATACAGTGGGTACGGAAAGTATTCAGACCCCCTTAAATTTTTCACTCTTTGTTATATTGCAGCCATTTGCTAAAATCATTTAAGTTATTTTCTTTTCCTCATTAATATACACACAGCACCCCATATTGACAGAAAAACACAGAATTGTTGACATTTTTGCAGATTTATTAAAAAAGAAAAACTGAAATATCACATGGTCCTAAGTATTCAGATCCTTTGCTGTGACACTCATATATTTAACTCAGGTGCTGTCCATTTCTTCTGATCATCCTTGAGATGGTTCTACACCGTCATTTGAGTCCAGCTGTGTTTGATTATACTGATTGGAAATTATTTGATTATACTGATACAGAAACAGAATTGTGGCAAGGCACAGATCTGGCCAAGGTTACAAAAAAATTTCTGCTGCACTTAAGGTTCCTAAGAGCACAGTGGCCTCCATAATCCTTAAATGGAAGACGTTTGGGACGACCAGAACCCTTCCTAGAGCTGGCCGTCCGGCCAAACTGAGCTATCGGGGGAGGAGAGCCTTGGTGAGAGAGGTATAGAAGAACCCAAAGATCACTGTGGCTGAGTTCCAGAGATGCAGTCGGGAGATGGGGGAAAGTTGTAGAAAGTCAACCATCACTGCAGCCCTCCACCAGTTGGGGCTTTATGGCAGAGTGGCCCGACGGAAGCCTCTCCTCATTGCAAGACACATGAAAGCCCGCATGGAGTTTGCTAAAACACACCTGAAGGACTCCAAGATGGTGAGAAATAAGATTCTCTGGTCTGATGAGACCAAGATAGAACTTTTTGGCCTTAATTCTAAGCGGTATGTGTGGAGAAAACCAGGCACTGCTCATCACCTGTCCAATACAGTCCCAACAGTGAAGCATGGTGGTGGCAGCATCATGCTGTGGGGGGGTTTTTCAGCTGCAGGGACAGGACGACTGGTTGCAATCGAAGGAAAGATGAATGCGGCCAAGTACAGGGATATCCTGGACGAAAACCTTCTCCAGAGTGCTCAGGACCTCAGACTGGGCCGAAGGTTTGCCTTCCAACAAGACAATGACCCTAAGCACACAGCTCCATCTCCCTCTGATGCATCGTGGTAACTACAGTGGACAGCTATTTGGAACCATTTAAGATGTAGCATCATGTCCCAACCACCAACTGACGAATCCCGAAAGTGTTGTCTACGATTCCATTTAATTGTTGTCTTTTTATCTATTTTTTTGTTTTGAGATATTGCATAATATATTCAGAATGGCGGCAGGAAAAGAGGATGCCCATGTCCATCGGCAATAAGTGTTAAATAATTTTATTCTCAGAAAGCCAGACAGGTACAAAAAATATTTTTCAGAGTGAAAAATTTAAGGGGGTCTGAATACTTTCCGTACCCACTGTATATATATATATATATATATATATCTCCCTCTGATGCATCGTGGTAACTACAGTGGACAGCTATTTGGAACCATTTAAGATGCAGCATCATGTCCCAACCACCAACTGACGAATCCCGAAAGTGTTGTCTACGATTCCATTTAATTGTTGTCTTTTTATCTATTTTTTTGTTTTGAGATATTGCATAATATATTCAGAATGGCGGCAGGAAAAGAGGATGCCCATGTCCATCGGCAATAAGTGTTAAATAATTTTATTCTCAGAAAGCCAGACAGGTACAAAAAATATTTTTCAGTTAAATAGGATGTCAGAAATAGTTTCATCCAGATTTTAACAATATTTTTCTTATAAATTGTTTGCTGTGACAGAAAATTTACCTGTCCACTGCAGTAGATGTCATGCACCAAAGGGTATAATTCTGCCTATGGGCCTATATATAGGTTGTGCCTTATTTTGTATGTTTTATTAAAATTATGATATAATTTACACTTGAATGGTTTTATTGAACATAATATTAAATAGTCTTCAGATTTTATCATTTATTTCAATGCTTACAGTCTATATTTATTTATTAGGTCATATAAAACTGTAGGCATGTATACATGTATACTGTATTAGTGCAGATATATGTGTGCATGATTGTGTTTGAGTGTGTTTGTATTTGTGCTCACATGTGACACACTCTCTTACGTTTTGTTTGTTACACTTCACATTTCTGTGCCGTCATGACATAGCTTGTTGTTATTGAATGTTCTTACGTGTATTCATACCATTTTCACATAGTAAATATTTTAAAGACGTGTTTAAGACCACCCATTAAGTTCTATTGATTTACTTTTTATACGTTTGATTCATGGTGTCCACTACACAATATATAAAATATAATATATTGCCAAAAAAAAATTTGGCATGATTTTTCACTTGTTTAAAAGTAAAAACAAACATGTAAAAAAAAAAATATTACTTTGTGATTTAATAAGTCATGCATCAGAGGGATTATATATATATATATATATATATATATATATATATATATATATATATATATATATATATATATATATATAT